ATTTTACCGTTATACATTAAGCGTTACATTTTTTAAGCGTTACATTTTTAAGCGTTACATTTTAAGCGTTACATTTTTACGTGTTACATTTTTACTTGTTACAATTTTTCGTATTACATTTATGTAAATTCCTTTGATATAAGCCAATCGGTAATTTGTGATTATAAAGAAGTCTAATTACTAACAAAAATGATATGTATGTTATAAGTGTAAGGTGATACTGACTATGTCCGATTTATGACTATATAGAGGTAATTTAATAATATTAAATTTCGTTTTATAAAAACGGGTGCTTATAAAGAGGTGTGACTGTATAGGAGGTGACTGTATGGAGGTCTGACTGTAGTATTATAAAGATTATTAAAATATAATATTACAGAATTTTATATCTATTTGAAATATATTTATTTGAAATTTTATTAACATAAACAAAATATTAGAAACTTTTTAACTTCAAATTCAAATTATTGATAATAATTTTACATTTCTAAGGTTTCTTTGAATATCATAAAAGGTTTAAATATCAAATTTATATTATTTATATTTTTGTAAAATATTTATTAATTTAATTTATTTAATTTATTCAAATTTAGAAAAATTAAGCTGTAAGTATATGAAGTACTTCACTAAAACTTTAATATGAAATACTATATTGGTCAAGATTCTCTGAAAATTTATGAAGTTGTAATTTCTTTGAATTACTGTGATCAATATACTTTGAAGATTTATTAAACTATAATATTTACAAAGAATTTCAATTGTAATACTTCATAATTATAACAGAGTTATAACTTTCTAAGTACTTCAATGAAGATGCAAATATTACAATGAATTACATTATACATATTTCACTTCAAATACTTTTCAGATATATAATAATTTATATAAATAAACTTTTTTATTGCTCAAAAAAATATTAATTTTGCTTATTAATGAACGATGAAATGTTATTTAAGTTATTTAAATCAATTATCTTGATACTTTTCAAAATCAAATTTGTAAAATATGTTTAATTTATACTTTGATAAATTAGTACAAATGCTTGCTTGAACTGTTTCTCTTATAATCAAATTGTAAATTATCTTCATTATTATATAACTTAAGATTAAAGTAAAATTAGAAATAAAAAAGCAACCAAAATTTTATAAATATCAAATCAAATAAATTAATCTTTTGTGATTATTATAGAAATTACCTTTTAAAAACAAATTACAAAAGTTTGTGCTTAAAACTGATTTCAATTCTGATATAAACATGAAATGTATTACTTTTCTTTTAAGTATAATAAACTCGTGTTATTTTAAATTACTATTCAAGCACAAATAAAACAGATTCGTAAAAAATTGATCATATTCTTCACATGTAAGTTAAATGATAAATAAAGTTAAAATATTTTTCAAAAAAGAAAACAAAGAAATTAGCAAGAATCATGAATTAAAAATGGTCTTTAAGAGAAATGCTATAAATAAGCAAAGTAAACTATTGTATCTTGTTAAAGACTTCAAGAATATTATCAATATCACTAAATTGAATGATGCTACTTTTTCACCTTAATAGATAAATATTTTTTATTCAGGTAAAAAAAAGTAAAATATAAATTTAAATTTAAAACAACTAATACATTTCATCAATAAGAGAATTCATACTTGCTTTGATAAGATTCTATACATTTATTCTTTAATCAATTTTTTTATGTTATATAAGCAATAATAATTATCGCTTATATTTTAATATCATTTTTAGGCATATACGATGAAAAGAAACTTAGTAGTAGTTAACTTAAGTAGGGTTCCGCAATTCGATTTGATATTTGAATATTTGATTTGAAAATCAAATCAAATACAAATTCAAATTTATATTTGATTTGATTTGATCAAATTCAAATCAAAGAATGATTTATTTGATTAAATCCAAATCAATGTTTGATTCGATTCGATCAAATTCAAATTGATTCAAATTGATTCAATAAAATATTTGAGTTCAATTTGATTCAATTCGATTCGATTTGAAAAAATCAAATCAAATTCAAATTGCTTAAATATTTGATTTGATTTGATTTGATTTTGAGGAACCCTAAACTTAAGGTCAGTTGCTTATATTCTATAATACTTATATGTAAAAATAGATGGCGTTAATATGCTGCAACAAAAATTAATAGATCATAAAAAGATATAGATGTGTTAATTAGATAAATAAAGACGTGATTACATTAAATATAGCAACCTGAAATAAATAATTCAAATTTTGGAGGATTATTAGAGAGATTAATTTATTATATTAGATTTAATGAAATTTAATTTTTTAAAATAAATATAAAACATTAAATTTTTTATTTGCTTGCTTAAATTATGGTATATATTTTTATTTAATAAAAATCTATTAGATGAAAATAAATAAATTATTTGGTTACATTAAATTGAATGCAAAATTAATAATCTTTTTTTACTTTTTAAAATTTCAATTTTAGTAACGCTTTAGATTTTAAAATTAATGTTTAATAAAAAGAAAATAAAAGTATTACATATACGTTTACTTGATATTAACGTAATAAATGTTATTCATTTTTTATTCTATTTATAAATCAATCAAAAAAAGGCATTATTGCTATTTTCAAAAATGTTGATAATATGAAAATATCGATTATTTTGCAGACCAAATACAACTGAATACACTAAATATATACTGAACATAAACTGAATATAACGAATATATAATGATATTTCACAAATATTTCATAAGCAATATTTTCTGTAAAATATTATGATATTGTATAAGCAATATTGGCAATATTATATAAAATATTACGTGAAAAATGTGACATAAACACATATCTTTATTTCACTACTACCTTCTATAATATAATAATGTCAAGTGTAAAGTCAAGAAAATATACTATAGATTTGTATTATCTTTGTCAGATATGTTTACACTGCAACAAAGATTGTAGTAAATGAAAATATAAATGTAAGAAGAAAAATAAAACACCCAGAAGTTCAAAAAAGAAATTCAAAAAAGTATTATACCCAAATTTTTAACTGCAAAATTAACAAATATAATTCTTAGCAACTAAATTAGTTAACAAATAAAAGTAAATATTATGAATATAATACATATTTTACTGAAGAGTTTGGTTTTTCTTTGTGTTTTAAATGTATCATAATAAATTTAATAGATTAGGTAAAAAGCAATACAAAACTCAAAAATAGAATAAAATTATAGACTCAAATAATTCTTCTTTATCTAAAACAGATAATATACCAATAATTGTAAATACAACGCTAACTGTAGATTCAACATTGTCAATGCAAGTTGTAAATTCAATATTAGCTACAAATACAATATTAATTATTGATATAATACCAATTACTGATATAAATATATTGCATAATTCTTCTCCAATAAATGCATCTCTTAATGAAATAAATTTTTTAAGTGAATCTTCTTTACTTGAATTAAAATTTAAATTTTTAGATGAAAAATGCTTTCCAGCTAAATGGAAATATATTATGATAGAAGATTTTTATATTTTAAAAATGACTTGGAGAATTTAATGCAATCACAACTTGACAATCAAATTATTTTGCAAGGTGAATATATTGTATTCTATAAATATGAAATAAATAGTGACTTAGGAACACAACTAGCAAATACAAGTGATTGGGCAGAATTATTAAAAGAACATAATAATACTAATAAAAATACATTGATTAAAATTATCACAATGAAAAGAAAAATCAATGAAAGAATTCAATTCAGATTCATGTGTAACATGTAACATTCGTGATGATGTCTGTGTAACATTCATGATAATATTGGCATAATATTAATAATTATAAGTAATTTATTGTAATTTTCAAGATTTTTTATTAATTAATTTATAACTAAAGCTTTATTTATTAGTGATGATATAACTTTTGAAGAAGTAGATAATGATGATAAAAAAAAGTCAACTAGTAATAAAAAGACAAAAACTTTAAATAAAATTCCAAAATAAAAGAATATTAATGAAATTGATGCTGAAATTAAAAAAATTGTTATAAACTTGCACTCTAAGTGAAAGGTATTATACTGAGCATGACAGAAATTACTACATTGATTTAACAAGATACATTACTATTATAACAAATTATTTATCTACATAAGCTAGATCAATTATAAGTTATTTAAAAAATTGATTATATTTTCATAAGACACTATTGTATAATATTTATAATGTAATCATAATCACATAATAATTATAATATTAGTAATTACACATTCATGAATACGATTGTGTAATATAACATATTATTATAATCATATAATTATATTTATGAAATGCAAATTACTTATTTTTATTTAAATTTATTTCATAGAATCTTGCTACTTTAGATGAACTTCCAACATTATCACTATTGGTTGCTATCAATTCAGTAAAAAGAATTAACAATAATTTACAAAATTCAAATATTTTAACTTCAAATTCTTTTTATCTATCTAATTTTGCTTCATCATCATCTTATATTGCTATGTCTTTTCCAGTTTACTATCCAAGCATGTTTAATCAGCAAAATTCATAACCACATCAAATAACTTATATGTACCAAATAAATATTTCAATTTCTATTCCTTCATTTGCTGAATTTTTGGTAACTTAGAGAAATGTGGTGAAAATACTTTTGAGAAAGTAAAGAGCAAATTTATATAGGAAACTATTGATGTTTTGGATATATTGGATCTTAAAAAGACTGATTGGCAGGATTTGGAAATAAAGATTGGTTTAAAACTAAAATTGTTAGAGAAGCTGAAAAATATAGGAAATAGGTCATCATAAAATATCTTTTTCTTCTTTTTTGCAATATTAACATGATAATAGCAATAGCTAATAAAGAGATCAATGTGATAATAGTAATCAGTAATACAATGATTTTTGAAAAAATTATTAGGACATTACAGCAGTAATTTATGCACATGCTAATGTTTAAGCTAAAAAAGGATCAGAACAGTTTTCTACATAATTTCTATTTTTTTAACCAGCTTTTAATTGTAGAAAAAGCTGTTCAATCAGATTTAAATCAGGTGAGTATGACAGAAGAAATAAAATTCCACATCCAATTGATTCTATAAAATTGACCAAAAATTCATTATGATGAATTTGAGCATTATCCATTACTAAAACACTATTTTTCTGGGGAAATGGATTCATATTTGAAAGCTATTATAAAAATTATATATATATGTAAAACGAACGTGTAATACACATTTATTAATTTTTTAATTTTATTAACCAGATTCAAGTATAAAATTATAAAATTAAACTTACCACTTTAGCTAAAATAAAATTACAAAATTGCTCTTTATTACAACTCCCTTGCATAATATTTAACGCAATGATACCATCTAATGCTAAAGCTGAAAGTATTATGTAACGTGTTCCTCTAATAAACACAACTTTTTTACTGCCTTCTAATTGCATGGAGAATATCTATATTGTCTACATGGAGTACATTCATCCTTTGTACTTTCATCCAGAAAGATAAGTTGTTTAGATCTAAAATATGTTCTAACATTCATTATATAATGACCGCGAAAAATTTCACTTCTTTCCTTAGCGTATTTTTTCTAACTTTGAATTATAATAAATTTAGTTTGTATTATTATAAAATTAGATTATTAATAAACAAAATATACCTTCTTATGTGTAATTCCACAATATTTTAAATAACGCCATATTGTTGAAATTGAGACTTCTTTTCCGGTTCTTCATGTCATTTCAACAACCATTTCATCCAAATACATATCAGGCTTTTCTTTAATCATTTGTACTAATATCTTTAAAATATATTAAATAATAGGCTAAAGTTATAAGAACATTTAAATATTTAAAATACAAACTTTTAAGTCTGAGTTATTAAAGAATTTCCTTTGTTCTTTCAGTCCTTGTATTTGATTTTTGACATCTTTCCAAAGTATATAATAATTCAAAACTCTATATATTGTAGGTTTACTTATATAAAACAATTTAGAAATTTGTTCCATAGAATGGCCATCGTTCCATAAGTATATAACCCTCCATTTAAAATCTTCACTGTATTTTTTTTGGCATATTTTATAATAATTAAATATTATCAACGAACTTTTGTGCAACGAAATTTTTTTACATTGCAAAAATTTTATAAGGTATATTCTAGAATCAATCCTTATACCGATCACATAACTCAATTTTGTATACATGCCATGCACTAGTTTTTTTTTTGTTTCATTTATTTCAAACTTCTTTCCTCTTAATGAGTATTTTAAAACCTTCTTTTTTAGAAATACTACCAAACATTTCTGCAGTTATAATTGATTTGTAATCGATATTGGATCAGATAGGATATAAACGTTTCTAAAGTACAGGACAGCCGAATATCTCAGATATACCCACTATTAAAAATAATTATCCGAAAATCATTGCCGAAAATAAAATTGTTTAATTAAGATTGAAAAAAACGGTAATCTCAATCATAATCTCAATCACATCAATTGCGTTCCCTTCCCTGAGTAAGTTACCCAAAATGAGATCATCCGATTCGTAATCAAAACGGATATTTTTTAAATAGGAAAAATTCTAATCTTTGTGTAACTTCTGATGTATATAATGCATGCTCGTTAAATGATTTTCAATCAGAAAGAATACCAATATGTCTAACGACTTTAATCCAAGTGATGACGAAATTGCAACAATTGAATCGTTCGTTATTTCATTCAATATGGAATTTGTTGTTACAACTCACATAGATAAGTCATTGGTTATATGGGAAATAGATTTTAAAGATAAAAAGCTCAAGTTAGTCAAGATAGACAAGGGCGAAGTCCTTTTGCACGAATCCAAAGATTTACTAGAATTATCAAACGATAAATTATTGATTTATTCTTGTGAAAATAATCAATATATTCGAGATTTGAAATCTTCCAAATTTAGTCCGATAACACCTTATAACGCAGCACCGTCATCATCAGCTGCTAATTATATTGATGATAAAAAAAAGCTTTTATCGCCTGGCGAAAAAAAATATTTACGGTTTCTCGAAAATGATGATCTTTTATTGTTATCTATACCATCACTACAAAAGGAACATTCAAAAGAAGGAAAGAAACGTACGGAACACTATTTAAATGGAGAACATTTGTTTGATTGGCTATATAAGGAAAAAAAACGTTTACCTTTACTTTTTTTGCAATCGTTACCATTGACACCAAGTATAAATGTGTATTCAAAAGATTCATTAAAAAATTCAAAAAAATCTTCTAATTCATATAAAATACCAACGATTGGTCATCTCGACTTGATATTGATCAACGTTAGTCGTACTAGAATTGATAAAAAAAATAAAAAAAATGAACAAATTTTTTTTGCCATCGACGGTGTGATACTTCAATTAAACACTAATGCTAAGAAAATGAAATTTGAAAGATACTACATTATTCGAAACATTAAAAAAGAACAGCTCAGAGATTCAAAGAATTGTAGTTGGATGGGGGCGGTAAATGAGGAAGGAAATTTATTAGCAATATGTTCAACATACAAAGGAGATATTCATACATATGTATTTTCAATGAAGAATGGAATTTTAATTTCATCAAGTGAGCAAATTTTTTAACAATTAATTTTTTTTTACTTTGCGTGTTTACTAACCGAATTAATTTTAAATAGGAGTCGACAAAAGTTGCGACAAAAGTTGCGAAAACGAGTACAAGAAAAAACATAAAAAACCAAGAATACAATTCCTAAACATCAACAACACCGACATTTTAATGTTATCGCATACATGTCTTGGGGACAAAATTGAATATACGATCATGATGCCTTATAAACTGTCATTCGCGTTTAAAGAAGAATTTTGTAACCAAAAATCCATTAAGGACTACATGATTGTAGAAAGAGAAAATTCAACATCATCACAATTACTACTTATGATTGCTACCGGGAATCAAATCGAATTGATCGAATTCAAAATCCCTATTGAAAAGTTATATGACCAGATGAAGCAAGATCACAACCTATTTATTTATTCAAGTTACAATGTCATTAAAAATGGCATCAATAATTCGCGTATTCCCAATGAAAAGTACCGTTGTGTAGGAAAAAGTTTGATATGGGAATTACAGCAGCGCCAGGACTCATTGTCATTAAAAGTTTGTAAAATGGATCAAAGGCAAAATAAGGAGACAATCTGTTTTCATTTTGAAGAAGATTGCAATATTCGATTTACACATCTTCAAACGTTAAGTAATGATGATGTAGTATTATACGGGTCGTTGGATGAAGAAACCAATAACGATAAGAACAGTAGTATTTACATTTTTAGCTTAAATGAAAGTACCAATAAGATATTTCCTAGATATTTCTATCCTAATACTGATGAATTTCTTAAGAGAAAAACCCTTCCAAACCCAAGTTTAAAATCAGTAGTAGTATCGCAAAGTAGTAAAATAGATATGATTAATGAACTTCTAAGTTCAAGAAAATATCTCGTAGAAATGAGCGAAGAAATCATTGATGATGCCACTAAAGGGAATAAATACGGTCGTAAGAAAATTATTAAATTAATGGCTTGTCTTGACAAGTTATATACAGCTACTGACGCTGAAGACGCTACGGAGCCTAAAATTGATATCCATATCTGTGATCTTATCACAAAGTTTCTACCAAAATTATATTTAATTCTTCCCACTTATTACACAAAGTTTATTTCTGCAACTGCACTATTTCCAACTCCATTTATAAATGAAACATATTTATCCAACGAATTTCAATTGGTTGGTTATACGTATCAAGCTCATACTCTTCAAGTATATAATTGTATAGAAAGTTATGTCGTTCAACGAATTATGTTAATCAGTCGAGTCTTTTTAAAATGTATCCATTATATTTTTAAGAAAGATCGACCAAGAAAAAGGATTATTAGATTCGTTGTTCCTTACCTGGGTTTTACAAAGTATCCAACTGAATACAGTTTCTGGAAGGAGTTAATAAGACCAAGTGACAACCCATTTGTTACTTTTGATGAAGAAACCATTTATGATGGTTGGAATGCTGAGGCATTACTTAATTTCAAATGGAATACCTTTGGACGGTTTTATTTTTATATTATATGGGGATCCTTTAGCATATTTTTGCTCTCTTTCGGTTTAGGTTCAACATTGTCTTCATCAAATATTTCAAATGATACGAGACATATTTTATTATATACTAGCATTACCCTTGGTTTCTTTTTTTTTGTTCATGAAATTAGACAATTTATCTGGAATTTGAAAAGATATATGAAAGATATATGGAATTTGTTCGGTATGTATAATGTTTGATAGTATTTTTTTTAAAAAATATACATCATATATATAAATATTATTTTATTTTAGATCTTTGTGCGATTATATTCCCAATATGCACCGCCTTCTTTTGGTTATATGATGAAAAAACACCTTCGCCTGCTCTGATTTCTATATCAAATCTATTCTTATACTTTAAATTTATAACATACCTGAGAGCTCTTGATTACTTTGGGTCTAATTTGACTATTATCGTTGGTGTGGCAAAGAGGATACTTTCCTTCTTTTTGATCTTACTTATTATCATAATTGGCTTTGCACACGCCTTTTTTATTATTTTGACCCCAAATAATAGTTATGATTTGGATGTGCCCGATCAGGATGACGATCCAAATAATCCCTGGAATCTCGTTACGGAATATCACTCAGTTTCTCCAAATGGTGAGATCAATCCCAAAACAACTTTTATTCAACGACCCGATTCCAATTCAAATCTGTTTTCCACTTATCCAACTTCACTTTTGGCCATGTATTTATTTTTAACGGGGGATTCTTCATCACTTGGCTCGTGGTCATATCAGGAAAATCCATTTATGACAATTCTATT